GCAGTTGGAGTACTGCGTGCAGTTTTGGGCACGGCACTTCAAGAGGGATGCGGATAACCTGGAGAGGGTCCAGAGAAGGGCCACTCGTATGGTTAAGGGCCTGCAGACCAAGCCCTATGAGGAGAGACTAGAGAACCTGGACCTTTTCAGCCTCCGCAAGAGAAGGTTGAGAGGTGACCTTGTGGCTGCCTACAAGTTCATCACGGGGGCACAGAAGGGAATTGGTGAGCATTTATTCACCAAGGCGCCCCCGGGGGTTACAAGAAATAATGGCCACAAGCTAGCAGAGAGCAGATTTAGACTGGACATTAGGAAGAACTTCTTCACAGTTAGAGTGGCCAAGGTCTGGAACGGGCTCCCAAGGGAGGTGGTGCTCTCCCCTACCCTGGGGGTCTTCAAGAGGAGGTTAGATAGGCATCGAGCTGGGGTCATCTAGACCCAGTACTCTTTCCTGCCTATGCAGGGGGTCGGACTCGATGATCTATTGAGGTCCCTTCCGACCCTAACATCTATGAATCTATGAGAGCCCAGGCTGGCAGGGCAGACCAGGTCCAAGCAACACATAGGCCTGCTCTTGGGGCACAGCCAACTCCCATCCCACCCCAGTCCCCATGGCACCCAGCGGTTGCAGCCTGGTCCATCACATCCCTCTGCATCTCTTTGGCCCCTCCACACCCAGGCTGGCTTTGGGGCATCTGACAGCAGCTGGACTCTCACTCCCTGCTTCCCCCAATGTGGCCCATCCTGGTGACATTAGCCTGGGGTGGGGTCTTGGGGTGCTGAAGCAGAGGGATCACTGGGCAAGCTCTTCCCTCAGGTCTGCTGGCTGTTTCTGAGTGAGCTGCAGCTAGGGTGCTCAGGGGAAAGGCAGGACCATGATGTGGGGCCTCTGGTAGCCTGGGGAGTGGGCCTCGGATGTCACTCACCTTCTTCTATACCACCCCAGCCATCCAGCAAGAGTGCTGGGAACAAAACCCTGGCACAGGCAACCCCCTGGCTGGGGTGGTGCAGGCCTGGGGGGATGGAGGGCCCAGTGCAGAGGGGCTGGCTGGGGAAGCATCACTCTGCTGCGTCCTGTCACTGTCCCCCGACTCCCTTTGTCCCGTAGCTTCCCCTTGCCACGGGTCTGCCATCCCTGATCCCTCCTGTCCTGGTGACACTGCGCTGGTTGCAGAGCTGGTGATCATGGTGGGTGGGAAGAACATTGCTCCGGTGCCCATTGAGGATGCAGTGAAGTAGGATGTGCCGATCGTCGGCAATGCGGTGCTGGCCAACAAGGGGAGGAAGTTCCTGTCCATGCTGCTCGCTCTAAACGTGGGGACACCTCTGGGCCCTGCCTGCCCCCAGCATCCCAGCAGGATGGGTCTCACAGGGAGGGCTTTGGGCATCCTGTGGCCTGGGCTCCAAGGTACCTGTGCTCTGCGCCCATGTTCCCACCCTTCTGCACCTGCTGCCCACCTGCCCTTGTCTGACGCGTTCTCCCTCCCCCAGTGCCAGGTGGATCTGGAGTCACGGGTGTCCCTGGATGAGCTGAGCCCCAAGGCCATGTGGTTCTGCCGAGAGCTGGGCAGCCAGGCCACACAAATGGTGGAGGTGCTGAGTACCCGGGACCTGGCGGTGTACCAGACCATCCAGCAGGGTGTGGAGTGGGTGAACCAGTGCACCCTGTCCCACACCCACCGTGTGCAGAAGTGGGCCCTGCTGCCCAGGGACTTCTCCATTGCCAGTGGGGAGGTGGGTGAATGCTGGGCACCAGGCCCCTGGCATGGCGGGCCAGTAGGGGACACTCCTGCGTTGAGCCGCCCACCTCCCTGTGCTCGACCACCATCCAGGCTCCGAGTGCCTCCCTGGGGTGCCTCCCATCCGGCCGACCCCTTCCCTGGAGCACACCCGCTAGCCTGGGGTTCCCGCTGCCACCATCCAAGGCTCTGGACTCACTTCTGGCTCTGCGCACCTTGGAAAACACAGGCCTGATCGTCCAATGGGTGCTAGACCCAGTACAAGCACTTGGGGCACTTCCCCAAGTCAGGGGCTGATTAGGGAAGCCTCCCTTAGTCCGCAGACCTCAGGGGCCTTCTTGGCATAATTTAGACCCACCCCTCAATAAGTCTCCCACACCGGTCACAAAGGAGAACTTTATTGATTACAGGGGTAGGGCAGAAACAGGGTAAAAGGTAGAGCAATATCAAGAAATCTTATAGGAATATCAAAGAAATCCCATAGAGCAACCCAGGGTGGCTGAGGTAGCCGTTTCAACA